TAATTGGTCAACACTGTGCGCATTGGCTGTTTGGTACCTGGCTGCCAGCATGAGTACGCCAGGGCTGGCCTGGACTGTATGCCAGCACTTGAACCTGCTGTTGCCTCATTAATTATGTCGCCCCATGAGGCCCTGCGCTCATGGCAGAATGATTGGAGCTATGTTCAATGCCCACAAACTCAATGTCAAGTCCCAGATAACCTCCTCAGTAAGGCATACAATGCAGGAGTAAGTGCTGGCCGCCTTTGGAACTCATTGGCATACCTCTTGTTTGCACATGCTGAATTGCTTCAGGATGCTGTTGGTGCAACTGTGGTGGAGGGATTTGGTTACGCAGCATTGCAGGAGGCCAACACCTCTGTGGTTTACCACATCAACTATCAGGGAAGTCCAGATCTGCACAACTTCTGAAGGTGTCCAGGGATCTCCTGAAGGGGTCCAATGGCATCTTCCAGCCAGGAGGGATCTGCTGTCTCAGTTGGGGAGAGGAATACTGCACCCCAACCCTCAACTTGTCCTGCTGCGGGTATACTGAATGCTACGGCACCCTCCGCTCAGGAGCAATACAAGAATAGATGGCGTCTATTGTCTCAGTGATGCTCGGCCCGCAATGAGGACCCAGTTTCCTGCCAGGTGCCCGAAGTTCTGGAGCTTCTCCAGTCTTCATTTGGTAAGGGTTGTGTCTCCTTTGACCCTTAACTTTTATGTGGCAGCAATCTCATGTCATTATGCATCTTTTAATGACCTGAACGGTCATTAAAAGATGCCATAGTGGCCATAGTCTGCTCTCTCTTTTCTGAGAGGTGCTCAAAGGTTGGCCCCACTGCTCCTCCCCGAGTACCTGACTGGGATTTTCCTTCGTTCTCGACAATTTGTTCTGTTCCCCTTTTGACCCCTATGTGCAAGCAGAGCTCAAGTGGCTCTCATATAAGACTGTCTTCTTGTTAGCCCTTGTATCAACTAAGAGTGTTTTAGAACTAAATGACCTTTCCATTAGTTCCTTATGTCTCTGATGGGATCCAAAAGGCTCTGGTGTTACCTTGAGGCCCAACACTGCGTTTGTGCCCAATCTGTTGGCCCATTCACATTGTAACCAGCTGTTGCGGTTGGCCCAGTTTCAAAAAGACTTAACCTTCGCCAGTCTGGTACAACTGAGGAATGGTCTAAATTGTTGTCTCCTGTACAGGCGCTGGAGGCTTATAGTGCTGCTGCTAAAACTGTAAGGCGGTCAGACCAGCTTTTTGTGTACTATGGAGGTTCCAAGCGGGGCTGTCCTCTAACTGAACATCTCTCCCACTCAATTAAAGGCCCACTTTACCAGGAACGTCTCCACCTTCTGGGCTGCTATTAGGGGGTTTTGACTGGAGGCCATATGTCCTGTAGCATCATGGGTTACTCCAAGCACATTCACAAGCTGCTACAACCTCAATGCGGCTGCCCCTTATCCCTGGGGCCAAATTCTTTTTTACGAGGTTCCGTGAGGCCCTCTCAGTGACTTAGAGTGTATAGAAAATTAAATTTCATTTAGTATGTGAAGTATGTGCTCAGGATTCCTCATGACATGGTTGGTATTAGCCATTCAGTGTTTCAGCACTGCCCTCTAGTGGCCAGTTAGGATGCAATCGTACTAAAGTTACGGATGTCACTACTGTTTTATGAATCCTGGATGACACCCAAAACACACTGTATCCATAAACCTTAAAACAGGTCTATTATATATCTTTCAAAGGTAGTATTGCATGCTATTATTATTTGTGTTCTAAATTTATATTAAAAATAAATCTTTAGAGTAAGACTGTTTTACTACACAGGTTCAAAGTTTGAAATTACAATTTTATTTACAGAAATTGATTGATTCCCCCTAAACATTTCCTGCAGACCACCTTTTCACATTTATGACATACAAGTTCTACTGCGGCCGGTAACGTGTGGTTTGCCTGCATTTGTTTTAGCAGTTCAAGGGCTGGTGCAGTGCTTGAACAAAAGTTTTACTATTGTCTGATGGTTCACTGATACCTCTGCGTTTTCCCGGGGGGTGGGTGATCACCCTCTGACTCGCTGTCAGAGTCTGAGCCGCTTCCTACCCTGTTAGATTTCTTCTGAAAGCCATTTTTTTCCGTATTAGCCAAAGAGTTCAAGGTAGAATGTTGGTTGCTAGGCAACAGTACCAAACGTCAATCAACCGGGGGAAGAATTTACAATGCAACTAATAGAGCTGTGGGTGATGGAGGTAGAATTAACCACATTTATTTTTTATGTTTTATTTTAATTAAAAAAACGACATTAAAATGAAGGAAATATAGAAAGAGGAAAAGTCAGTTAACATGAGCAACAGAAGCAGCTGTGGCTACAATGTAGCTCACCACCACCAATGTGTGAGTGTGTGCGTGAATGCGTGAACGACTGAATGTAATGTAAAGCGCTTTGGTCAAGTCTCCTAACTTGAAAAAAGGCGCTATATAATTACAGGCTATTTACCATTTTACCATAAATTCTAAATAAAGTTCTTTCCCTTTAAAATCTCAGAACCGTCAAAGTGAAAGCCTTGGGAGTTCTAGTGTTAAAGACATTGCTATACTAAATTTACACTGTATGTGTGTGAATATGTGGAAATGCACAAATTAAACAAATTCCCGTGTTGTGTGTATTAATGAAACTAATCCACACATCATAAGATTTTAAATGCACCTCTGGGTAGGGATGGGGAT